CCCTCACCAGTCCTATAAGTGGGGAGGACTTTTCTCAAGGGCAAGGCTCACATCTGTCCCCTGCCCCTCAGGAACAACCATGTCCAAGACATCTGGACATTTGCACAGGGACAGTCACCGAGTCCCAGCTGGCAGATCAAGCCACCCACCCAAGGGCGTGCCTTCTGCATTTATTGTCATGATATTTTATAGTGTTTGGAAAGCACTGGCTTCTGAAGAAGTAAGGATCTCTCTTGATCTCTTGACTGGCTGTGTAATGGCTTTTGGGCAGTGAGATTGTAGTCACATCCCCGCATTCTGCCCTCATTTAGCTCCTCTCCCTCACTCTCCGCCAAGGCACCAATGATGATCTCTGGTCTTAAACTCTGTGTGGTTGGCGTGATTTATAACCCTCTGCAGTGCCCTAGGAGACACCACAGAACGGGGACGGAACTTGGACCAAGATCTCTGGAGCTGCAAAGACCTTTCTTAGCTCAGGACTTCAAGGGGCCACTGCCCAGGAATAGAGGGCATGAAGGTGGGAGTGACTGGGGGAGACCTGTACAGTGGGGACAATGTGCACAGCCTCTAGTCTCATGGGGACAGGCCACTGGGAGCCACTCCCTCTGTGAAACTCTCCCTGTTCCTCAGACACCTGGTTCCCCCTAACTTTCTCAGTATGCTTTCTCCTTCTCACTGTCCCTGAAATGTTGTCCCTTGCAATTCTATCTCAGACCTTGTAATAGCTTCCTGTGGCTGCCAGAGCAAGTTACCACAAACTTGGCGGTTTGTAGAAATTATTATCGCAGAGAAGTTCATTTCACGGGGCTGAGATCGGTGTTGGCAGGGCCGCCTTCCCTCCAGAGGCTTGGAGGGAGGCTCTGTTCCTTGTCTCTTCCAGTGTTTGTGGCCACCAGCATCTCTTGGCTAGTGGCCACATCACTCCCATCTCTACCTCTGTAGTCACCTCACCTTTTCCTCTTCTGTCTGTTTGAAATCTCCCTCCACCTGCCTCTTTTGAGGACACTTGGGATTATAGTCCACCTGAATAACCCAGTATAATCTCCCCATCTCAGGATCCTTTAACTTAATCACCGCTGCAGAGTATTTATTTTGCCATTTAAGGTAATATTCTCAGGTTCCACAGATCAGGATGTGGATATCTTTGGCGGGGGCGGGGAGGGGGTGTACAGTGGAGGGAGGCATCATTCAGTCTATCAAAGCCTCTTTTTCATTCAACACTGTCTACCTGTTGGCTAAAAAAAGACATGAGCTTAGGGAGGCTGAATCCCCCAGCCAGGATATCAGGCTGTGTGAGCTTGAGCACAAAGCACATACTTAACCTCTCTGAGCCTTGGTTTTGTCGTCTGGGAAGTAGGGCGCATCATGTCAGCTCCCTGGGAACGTTTGGGAAGATTATATTAAAGTGTTCAGTATATGAAAGGTGCTGAGCACATCTGATTTCCCTTCTCTTTCCATCTCTGCTCCAGCCAACTTAAAATCCCTATTTTAAGCATCAGGGCTGCTGAGTAGCTTCCAACTATGAGAATGTTAAGATATGGTGTTAATTGTTTCCATCTGTCTGCCAGGATGGAGGCGCTATAAACTTCCCATTTTCAACCTTAGCAAAATTCCTAAAATATCTCAATGTCCCCAAAATAGACGCCACGGGGAGGGATGAGGGAAGGATATGGGGCTCCCCAGGAATCAAAGCAAAGAATGATCTTTGTTTCTCTCTTCCTCTCATCCCATGTGTCTCCCTTCATTTCTTCTCCCTTCGGACATTCATTAAAAACCAACCGCCTGCACTCAGACCAAGATCTGAGCAAAACTTTCCGGAAGGCAAATGACATCTTCCCCACCAGGAGGTCTCATCTGGGTTCTGTTTAAAGAGGTAAAGGGGCCAGGGCTTTCCAGACCTCTCCCACAGGGAGCTCCTTGAAACCTGACCTCCAGCAGGCAGTGCATGAAATGTCATCGCTGCCACATTTCTCCACACAGACCCTGCCCTGCTCCCTGATTTAAATACTGGCTGCAGCATAACATGACCTTGAACCAGTAAACTCCTAAAATCTCATTTCCTTCATCTACAAAACGGAGGTGATACTTCCTACTTTACAAGATGACTGTGAGAAACAGAACAAGCAAATGGAAAAAA